ACACACACACACACACACACACACACAAACACACACACACACACACACACACAAACACACACAAACACAATGTCTGTATCCCTGCCATGGAGTTAATCTTTTTCAATTTTTTGTAGACTCACATGAAGCGTGCCTGCAATTTCGCCACTTGGTGAGAACTTTGTCGGAACAACCGACCTCTGGTTCATTCTCTTGTGGACGGTTTAGGTGAGAACACTAAACATCTAGAATTATGTAATACAGCAGCAAAATTTGGGAACAAGTTATGCACAATTTTGTAAATACAACACGGCTTTGAAATTTGAAGGGACAACTCACCAGCTCAAACTCTCCACATTACTGGCATCAAGAAACCAGAAAACCACAATTACAACTGCAGAAAAAAAGAAAAAAAAAGAGAACTCGAATTCAGTTCAAACTTCAAACTTCAAACTTCAAACTTCAAAACTAATAAATTAAAGATTGAGCTGGTAGGTCAAGGCCTAGACCATTGAAATTTGAAACCTGAAAGATAGGAAACCAAGAGCATGAAATAGACCGATTCAGTCCTCCTGAGTCCTAACAAAAATAATCAAATAGTCACGCAGGGCTAGTAAACAGATCAAGCATGTTCATTACCACGTGCATGACAAACAACCTCATTCTTACCTATAAAATGTCTACAGGGATGATTCTTGGCGGGTTCGGGGGGGCCAAAGAAGAAGAAGAAGAAGAAGAAGAAGAAGACTGTGAATCACAAAGAAATTTGGGAGATTCCATTCGACGACAAGGCAGAGAAAAAGAAATTAAAATTTAAAAGTCATTTTTTTTAATCCAAAAGTTCCACACTTTTCTGTTGGTAGAGCAGGATTTGAAACCGCAAGCCTCAGTGATGAATCTGACGATACATATATATTTGACGATATATTGTCACAGAACTATTATATATATCATCAAACAGAACTGCCTGCAGTGCCCGGTAAACCGTAGGCAGAGGGGGAGAGGAGGACACCATATATATATATATATATATATCGTCAAATAGAACTGCCCGGTAAACCGTAGGCAGAGAGGGAGAAGAGGACAACAAACGAGGGGCTGTGACAAACTGTTTATATATATATTGTCACATAACTATGAACTAAAA